TTCATTGATTAGCATTTTTGTTTAAATATAATATTGAATCAGAGTGCAGGGGAGACCGAGGCGCCCGGTCGATTCGGTGGTCGGCTTTTGTAGATCTATGCATTTTTTACGGAAAGCCGTATTACCTAACCCTATTACTAGATCTATTTGTGTTGTGAAAACTTCAACCTCTACAGCTCAGGCATCAAAAGATGCTGGTAAATAATAATAGATCTACGTCCTGAAGTTTCATAATTTATTTTTATATAGAATAACACAGTACACAGTCAGTAGTTTTTATTTCATCGAGTTATAAAAATGGCCTTCGTATAAAAATTGCCTTGTTTTCAGAAGCAAGTTTTAATAGTTCTAGTTCTACCTAATCGATTTTCATGCGAATTCAACCATTTTGATGATCTTTCTTTTCCTTTTAAAAAGATGTAGATCTAGGCCTGTCGGATGTGGCAGTGCGAATAGCACTGAGTTGTTTAGATCTAGATCTAGATCTAGACCCATCAAAACACGAGGCTTCGTGGCCGATCACAAAAGTCTACGGGGCTTATCGAGGCCGATTCGCCCTGCCGCGAGCACGTTCACTAAACTGCCTACTAGATAGAATCTACTACCAAATATTCTCTACACGATCTTTGCTACTACTACTACTAGGCCTACTAGCCTACATGTACTACTACGAGACAGTACGAGAGAGTGTCACTCAGGCAAAGATAGTGTAACTTTGACTCAGCCACGTAGTATACACACTTTTTATACCCCAAATTTAACCCGAAAGTCCATTCGGAGGATTTGACCTTTTCGCTTGACCAAAGTGTGCCAAAATGGTAGCCTAGCTTTTGCCCCTCCATGAAGGAAAAATCTGGCCCTCATTCAAACCATTGGAATTGAGCAAAATTTTGCGTATTGTGCTTTGTTCTTACAATATTCATTATGGTTATGATTTATAAATTGTACACTGAGGCAAAACCATACTAAATGAGAAAGGTGCACCATTATGAAAGTGGAATGAACTCAGTTGCCATATGTGGCCTAAATAAGCACTCCCTTCTTTTTTATATATATGCTTCTACACCAGATCTGCATACGAGGGGAGGAAAATAGTATCTTTTCTTTCCTCCAGAAACACAAGGACATATATATATATCCTGCATGCATTGACTGGCGTCACAAAGGCCATTCAGTATTATTTTAATTTGATTGTGTTTCAATTTTAGTCTTGTTTTTTTTTTTTCCTTTTTAAATCTTGTTGGCGATTTTCTGTTTTCGCTCACTTATACCACTTCATAAAGCCCGTTTTTTTTTCCAATTAGGCAAAAACCAAAATGGTGAAATGGTATAGACGTTTAATGCCCCTATCAACAAAGAGGACGGACCTCCAAGTTTAATAACATCCATCTCCAAAAGGACAAAGCCAAATGGGTAATTCATCTAAAGTGATTATCCCCAAAACACAGCATTGGATTAAGCTGAGGCTCGAATCCCCAAACTTGCAATCTCATGATTATGGGTTCAGTAGCCTAACCACTAGTGACACCACCTTTGATGAGTCATTCCACCACTACTGTTTATCATTTACAGTGGAAACCATATATAACAGGCCCGGTTATAACAGGGATCCGGTTATAACAGGGATCCGGTAATAACAGGGATGTTTAAAATCCCCGTTTTTTCCTACTCTTTGTCTCTATTAAAAGTTATCGGCAATAACAGGGCCTATTGGGACCCCAACCGGTTATAGCAGGGACAAAGGCTCGTTAACAATGTGGAGAGAGAGAGAGAGAGAGAGAGAGAGAGAGAGAGAGAGAGAGAGAGAGAGAGAGAGAGAGAGAGAGAGAGAGAGAGAGAGAGAGAGAGAGAGAGAGAGAGAGAGAGGGGGGGGGCGACGACCGGTCGGCCTAGATCTAAGCCTACTTCTTTCATTATGGTCACCAACGATGTCAAGCGCAAGAGAAAATGCCTTTCAATTGACAAAAAAATACGAAGTAATCCAGACTGTTGACAAAAGCAAGATCCACTGGCAGAGATTTGTCGTCAGTTCGACATTCCACAAGGGTCGATTCCCACCATAATCAAGGATAGAGAGAAGATAGTGGCAGCATAATCCAATGAAAAGTTTGCTCTGGATCGAAAGAAGATGAGACTACCCGATGTAGATGCTGTGGACCAAGCTCTTCTGATGTGGTTTAAGTTTAAGGACGCAAGGAGAAATTCGGTGTTAAAACCCATGTTCGTGGGTACATGTAGCTAGGGAAACTACCTATGAATAAGTACAGCTAGATTAAAGTCCACAAATGCTCACTTTCCTTGCATTTCGGATTTAACAGGGATCGGATACAACAGGACTTATTCTCTACTCCCACCATCCCTGTTATATCAGGTTTCCACTGTAGTAACATCTATGTTCAAATTTCAAAGCTGTTTCCTGTGAATGCATCTTGTGGCAAGTTGTCACAAGCAAGGTCTTGTTTGTTCCTGAAAATGCCAGACCTCTTTGATAATCAGGTCTAGCATAGCATGCCATGAAATTCAAAGCGAAATGCCCTGTACTGTGAGGATTGTTACATGCATAAAAAATATATTTTAAAAACCACAAAAAAACAATGACCACAGATTCAGACAACACAAAGTCAACAGTTCATGTGAATGTGTTTTACTTTACTGATAAAAAACAACTCGAACCACATAACATTTTTAAAAAGAATTAGCGCGGTTGTCAACAGAAATGACATCAAAATGTGAGGAATGTAACAAGACAAAAATACTGATTTTATTCAAATTAAAAAAAAACCTTTTTTCTCATAGCCATCTGAACCATCCTCGACGTCACAAACTCGCCGTCACCGAATCAAGGAAATATTCTCCATGAACTTTAAGCTTGGGGAGGAGAAGGTGGACCTGTACCTCAAAAGGTATGACAGTGGATACGATCTCAAGATCGACCCCGACGACAACATGTGGTCCAGCTCCTCTGCTCCCACAGCCATCAGCAAGAGCCCTGGAACCTCAGCACCCCTCCGGGGAGATGACTATCGACAAGGTGCTCACTTTTCCATCCTGTTCAAACAAGGCCGTTAGAAGGCCCCAGCCAACAGTGCCCCGGTCCATCAGTGGAAAAATGACTATAAAGAGATGATACTCACGAAGAAGAGGAAGGCGGAAGAAGAACAACAGCAGAAGGAAGAGAGAAAGAAGCAAAGGGAGCAGAGAAAGATGGAACGGCTAGCACAAGCTGAAGACAAGAAGGAAAGCCAAAAAGAGAAGAAAAAACAAAGAGAGCAGGCAAAGAAGGAGAAAGAGGAGGAGAAGAAAAGGAGAATTCAAGAGAAGACTTGAAGAAGATGAATGCTTTGGTTGTGGCCTCACAGAAGAAGAAAGAGGAGGAAGATTCCTCTGACTCAGGTGAAGAGCCGGAGTATGACGACAGCTCCGACAATTGTGGGGACATTACGGTCGACTGTGCTATATGTGGAGCCACCACCGCAGGACAGGTAGTGCTCACCCAGTGCATGCTTTGTGACAAGTGGTGGCACGCCAACTGTGTCAAACAGGTGGACCTGAAGGACAAGACTCAGGAAGACATGGATGCCATAGAAATAGTGTAAGCAATATCTTTGTTTATCCATCAATTAGATCCACATGTCTCTACTTTGCTGTTCTTATATAATTTAATTCATGGCTTTCAGAGTTATCTAGACTCACTAATAGATTACTGTTTCCCTTGTAAGTGTTGGCTTCAATTATTTTTTTAATTTTTTTTCTCTTTTGGCTATGCATAAAGTAACTCTTGTGCAATTTGTAAGAATATTTCCTGCTTTATGGTTAGAAAATCATACGTTAGCCTATAAGATTCATAATAAGAAGCTATTAGGACATGTTGCAAGACCCGCCCTATCCTAGCGCGCAGCCCCTCCATAAAACGCGCCACCCTCAAGCAGGAATGCGCACCCCCGCTCATTGTCGCACACACCCGCCCTCACTTTGCCTCACAAATATAACTACTGAGGCGAGACAGGCAAACAAAGCAGGCCAAGCGCGCTGGGCCGACGATAGCAGACGAAATTTGCTTCTCATCAGTTATTGTGCGGTTACCTCCCCTTTCACCGGGGACTTGCAAGGTCACTTTTTATGCTTAGGGTAGCGTAGACTACCTCCTCTACTCTAAATGCTTACTTTCCTTGCATTTCCGATTTAACAGAGAAAAAGTCCTGTTATATCAGATCCCTGTTAAATCAAAAATGCAAGGAAAGTAAGCATTTGTGGACTAGTCTGCAGCACTCCGCAGCCCTCTCTCGCTCACCCCTGTGTGGGCTTGCTCCATCACTGTTACTCTCTCTGTCTCTCTCTGTCTCTTACTTTTTACAAATTGTTAACGCGCCTTTGTCCCTGCTATAACAGACTGGGTGCCGATGAGACTGTTATTAACTTTTCAGAGACAAAGAGTAAGAAAAAACAGGGATTTTAAAAAAATCTGTGTTTTTGCCGGATCCCTGTTATTACCTGCCCTTTACAGTCAAATGGAGGGCAGCGCTGGCTGCAGTGAAGACCAGGATGATGTAGGCATACCGATAATAGAGTTGGATGTCAGCCAGTTCACACTGGAAACTGTGGACACACAACTTTTGACACCTTCACCTAGATCTACACCAAACTTCCTCAATGTGGAAGAAGCTGTTCCTTCCACATTGGTGCTAACGTCCACCCCAAGACCCAGTATTGCTGGAAAGAAAAAACAAAACACTGAGGACCCGGTACAGAAAGCTATGCTGGAGTACATTGGGTCCAAACGGCAGAGACCAGGAAACGAGGGGGGGTGAGGACCTGACTTTTTTGCAGGGCCTTCTGCCTTATTTTAAAAACTTGCCCCCTGCAAAAAAGCTGCAGTTTATGGCTCTTAATGGAGCTCAGTGCTAAGATTCAATAATTTTTTTTGTCAATCTTTGAACTTGGGTTTTCCCTGAATCCTATTCCTAGCTTTATAATAACCCTAACTTCTTTTTCTCTCTCTCTTTCTCCTCTCTCTATGAATCTGATTGTAAGACCTGACACATACGACTACAATTACTTGATGTGTCGCGACGTGGTGGAATCAGGCTGAAAAATGACATATTTAGTGCCTTTAATCAATGTTTTTCAGTAAAATTTCCATGGACGTGTGTTTTAAATGCCTGTTTGTCCCATTTCGTTATTTTGACGAGCGTCTGATTTCGCCACGCTGCCTCACATATTGGATGCTAAAATAGGATTAGAGTCTACCCAAAGAAGGTGTAGGTTATGGTAGTCTTACACCCCATCCACTACTGCACAGTAGTGCTACACTGATTCCACTTACCTCAGGGTAAGCATTAATTTCAACTCAGGCGGAACGGCTTTTCTGAAGTTTGTGTCTTCTGTCGTCATGTCATCTTTGATTTCATTGAGCAGGTGGTCAAAAAGTTCCTGTAATAATATAATAAATGTATTTAAGTAGCGCATTTTCCCAAAAAGTAGTTCAATGTGCTTTACATACCCATTTTCAAAACCTTTCTTACTTCTTCCTTTCTTCTCATGCAATGTAGATGTCTATGTGAGGTGCGCTTACAAAATGAGTTACTTCCCGCAATCCACAAATTTGTAGATTTTCCATTGATGCCATATTCTTTGACTACAACATGCTTTTTATTATTATTAATTAATATTTATACATTGTAAATACTTTTCCTATTTATAAACGTGAGGTGTCTGTTTCAATAAGGCTTCAATCCGAGAAGTAACTCATTTTGTCAGCACCCTTTACCTATATATATTTATGCACACACACACACACACACACACACGCACGCACACAAAACACTCACACGGACGGACTATTTTCAATCATACGTAGGCACAGATTTTCCCGATCGAGCCTTCGTGTCACATACACTTCCACCTGCCGCCATAGCCGGCTTTTCGCGTGAAACGTACTCTCGGACGAGGAAAAGGTGAACGAATATTATATCACAATCGCGACCGGCAAAAAACGGAGTCATGTACCACGGCTTGGGTTCACTGAAAAGTCTTGCTGGCTTTATCACTCAGTATGCAGGCTTATTTACGACCGTTTTCCAAATTTTTTACTACCATCGAGGCAAATTTACTACCATTTACGACCTTTACGCCGAATTTACGACTTTTTTTGACGACTTTACGACTTTGCTGGACATCCAGAAGGGGGAAATGTTGCAACAAAAATAAGAACAAACTCCCATCAAATGAAGAGCCTATCTCTTAACACACAGGGCCACTCTCTAATGAAGTGGGTAAAAAAAATTTAAAAAACACACACACAAAAAGGGAGGACAACATTAATCAAAATTTTAGAATTTAGGCCGAGAATCTAGATCTGTCCCTTTTTAATTATTTAAATAAAACTCTCAATGCAATTCTGGATCTAGATCTGACTGAAATGATTTGAAAGTCACCACGATTAGAGCCTTTAGAAATAAGCTTAGCTTTGATACTGTGGCACAAGAAAAAAAATCTTGCAGATTACTTAGCAGATTTTGTGGAAGAAGTTGATTGCATCACGAAGAATCCCACCGGATAGTGAAATGCTTAATTTTTGTGTTGCAATACATTGTTTCATTGTTTTGTTTGCGATGTTCCTGTCTGTTCCTTTAGTGTAAAAGAGCATTCTGGCTACCATGGCTGTGACCGACGCACACATAGAAAGAGGTGAATGACATTCCTGTCTGTCAGTAGAACTACTTTCAGAACTGATTATGGATTTTCTGAGCGTACAGATCTCCATCACCACATTGGCAAGTCTGAGCCAGTTTCGTCAGTTCTTGTTGCACTCTATGGCCATTGTTTTAAAAGACAACCCTGCTTCACGATCTAAACATTTTCTCCTCCTGGTTGTGAGCGTCTACACTCCCACAAGAGGGCTTGGTTGAATGGGCAAGTACATTTAACATCTCACATGCAGCTTCAGGCGTCTTCTAAAACATTTTTAAAGACATGTCCTGCTCTCTACAGAGCATTCTGGCTACATTACTGTATCTCAAATCAATGTGGATGGCTTGCCATTATTTCGAAGTTCCAGCATGCAATTTTGGCCCATTCTGGGTAGGATTTCATCCATCTGATTCAGAGCCTTTGGAAATAAACATAGCTTTGATACTGTGGCACAAGAAAACCAAAAAATCTTGCAGATTACTTTGCAGATGTCGTGGAAGAAGGTGATAGGATCATTAAGAACCCCACATTGATAGTGAAATGCTTAATTTATGTGTTGCCATACACGGTATTGTCAGTGTTGCTTCTGCCTGTTCGTTTATTAAACAAGTAAAAGAGCATTCTGGCTACCATGGCTGTGACCGATGGACACAGAAAGAGGTGAATGACATTCCTGTCTGTCAGTAGAACAACTTTCAGAACTGATTATGGTTTTTCTGAGCGTACAGATCTCCATCACCACATTGGTGAGTCTGAGCCAGTTTCCACTTGACCCTATTGTGGTCTATTTGGTTGTGGCAGGGGGTTAGGCCTACCCTACTGTATTGTTTGGCTGAAAGTGTGAGAGTGAGTAAAGTGTGAGTCTCAGTTCAGTTGTATTGTTTGCAAGTTTATAAAAGCAGTCTGGGTTACTACAGGTCAGACTTTAGAGGGGAGAGCTGTAGCAAGGCAGAGGAGGCCTGCTGAGAGTATAGGTGATGAAAAGGCTAGTTAGAGCCTCGGTTCATTTGGGTGTAACGTGTGAGATTCCAACGCATCAGGGTCCCAAAGCTGAGGAAAGAATTACAACACAAAGAGAAACAGGTTTGGCAAACTCCTGTTATAGGCGCAGGCAGACAGAAGGTTAGTGGTGTTAAACATTGTTTTGTTCCAAGTAACAACACTTTGTACAGCATTTTGTACACCCTAGGTGTCATTAAAAAACTTCTGTGGATGTGGATTAAAAGTCCCTTCTGTAAGAAAATTAGAATGGTGGCAAGTTCTGTTCTTTTACTTTCTGAAAGGTTGAAAGCGCGCCAGAGTTACCATTCCCTTTGAACTTGTGCGTAAATGCAGGTCGATTGATGACTTAGAACGACGGAAAGCCAGAGTTTCGTCTGTTCTTGTTGTACTCTATGGCCATTGTTTTAAAAGACATCCTTGCTTCACGATTTTATAATCTTTTTGTTGTGAGCGTCTACACTGCCACAAGAGGGCTTGGTTGAATGGGCAAGTACATTTAACATCTCACATGCAGATTGAGGGGTCTTCTGAAACATTTTTAAAGACATGTCCTGCTCTCTACAAAGGAAACATTACTGTATCTTCTTCAATCAATGTGGATGGCTTGACATTATTCCGAAGTTCAAGCATGCAATTTTGGCCCATTCTGGGTAGGATTTCATAACCATTTGATTCAGAAGCTTTGGAAATAAGCTTACCTTTGATGCTGTGGCACAGGAAAACCAAAAAATCTTGCAGGTTACTTTGCAGATTTTGTGGAAGAAGTTGATTGCATCACGAAGAATCCCACCTGATAGTGAAAAGCTTAATTTTCGTGTTGCAATACATTGTTTCAATAGTTTCATTGTTTTGTTTGCGATGTTCCTGTCTGTACCTTAAATAAGTAAATAAAAGAGCATTCTGGCTACCAAGGCTGTGACCCACGCACATAGAAAGAGGAGAATGACAATCCTGTCTATCAGTAGAACTACTTTCAGAACTGATAATGGATTTTCTGAGCGTACAGATCTCCATCACCACATTGGTGAGTCTCTGAGCCAGATTCCACTTGACCCTATGCATTTTGTACACCCTAGGTGTCATGAAAAAGCTTCTGTGGATGTGAATTAAAAGTCCCTTCTCTGTAAGAACATGAAAATGGCGCCAGGTTCTGTTCTTTCACTTTCTGAAAGGTTGAAAGCGTGTTAGAGTTTGATGACTTAGAAACCCCCCTAGATCTACTCTTGGGGCCACAACCAGAGAGTAGTAATTAGGGGATGGGAACTACCGAAAAAGCGTTGCATAGCCTACTATACTACAGTTTATTGAAATTTATCGAACATTGCCAGAATTGTGAAAATAGAATATTTGTGTGTGTGTGTAAGTGCTTCTTTTTAATACTTATTCTTTGCCCAGACGGTCCTCTTTCTATATATTTCTTTTTGGATTTGAGAACAAAAAATGCTACCTAAATATCCAGGTAATTTGCTTCAGCCATTTTGTTGACCTCTTGACCTAGGTGTCTAGCTACAACAATCCAAGGGCGAATATAAAAAACTACGTCAAAATGAAATTCTCTCGTCTACAAACTGTTAGTTTAACGATGACCCAGATCTAGCGTCTGTTGGTTAAACACTCAGTTTGTCGATGAATGAACTGTACGTGTAAAGGGAGCCTAAGATCCCCACCAACAGGAGGAAGGTGTTCCCCAGGGAAACATCTTTTCTCCTCTCCTTTTTGAAATTAAAATAAGATTTTGTGCTTTTCAGAAGAAACTTGTGGGGGAAGACAGACTTCTTCCTGTATGTTCTACACAGAATGATCAACAAGCCTGGTTCTTACTTCACTGAGAAATAATTTAGAACTTTAACACTCTGAAAATAACTGAGAAAAAATTTTATCATTTGTTTAGGCACAATTGATCAAGAAAGCTGACAGAAGTGGTGCCTCTAAAAGGTCCTATGTCTTCTTTTACTCTACTGTAGCTATTTGCAGTCTTATTTTGTTTTGTAAGAGTTTCACGGCGCTCACAACTGCATAAGTCTTACTTTTCCCTAACTTTAATAACCACCTGCTCTGTGTTCTTTGTGCCCCCTTTTCACTCAGAACAGACTGTCCATGTCAGAGGGCTCTTTGTGTGTTTCAGGAAAAATAAAATTAAAATTTAATTGAAAAAAACAACAACAAAAAAACCTAAAAACCCAAACCGACTTAAGATCGGCTTCTTTAGTAAGAAAGTTGAGGGATTTTTTAAATCTAGTGAAAGGAAGTAGCAGTCTGCGACAAGAAAAAGCTATATGAATGATTACCCACTGTATTAAAAAATTTCTTAAAAACACATATTTAATTTTATTTGCTTTTTTACTTGCACCAGGTTAAAGGCGCACAACACAAAAACAGGCCAATTACAATACAAAGATGATAAGTGAATCCACAATCAGTTGAATGCTTCTATCTGCTCAAAAACAAGTTTTACTGTTTTGGTGTGTGTGTGTGTGTGTGTGTGTGTGTGTGTGTGTGTGTGTGTGTGTGCTTGCGTGCATGTGCCAGCGTACAGCCATACCAATGAGAGAATTCATTCACATTCTTAGACTCATGAACACATTGTGCTCAGATTTTGCCACTGCATCAAAATAAATGGTGAAATGGTATAGGTTTAATGCCTCTATCAACACTGTTCTAAAGCATGTTTTTAGGAAAAGTCAAGACAATCAAATACATCCCACAGTTCATCTCAACAAATCAATATCAGTCCAATGACCGCTTTGATTTCAGGATGGAATAGGTAGGTCTATAGACTGTGGTACACTCCAATACATAGGTCGTTAGTGTCACCTGACAAATCCTCTATATTTCACAAGCCAATGATTTCCAAAGAAAGAACAGCTCCTTAAAAATATCCCCTACTTTTTGATTGATTGATTTATTGAGCAGGTGTTTTACGGCACTATCGACTCAATTTTGGTCAATCCTCTACTTTAATAATACTAATAAAAGATTATAGGGTTCCCAAGATTATATTTGTATTGCGCAAAATCCCACAAAACAAGAAGTCCTTGCACTTTATAATCTATAGAAAAAATACTGGTAACACAGCGTGTAGTTTCAGATGGTGCACAGCTTATCTCAGCAAATCCTATCTGCCCATAGCACTGGTAAGACTGCTGGACCGTGTATTATACTGTGCCCATGTTCGTACCACTTTTCTCTCTTTTAAAAAAAAAAGAATAAAGAGCCGTTATAATGGTTCTTCAATTTATTAGCCCTGCTGTTCAAAACCAAAAAGGTATAACATTTTATAACAGTGGCAAATACTTTTCAGTCCTGTAATGAATGAATTGAGTAGGCGTTTTACGGCACTATTGACTCAGTTTAGTCAGAGATGTCTTATTTGAGCAGAAAAAAAGCATATCAACAACTGGTCACATATACACCTTGTTCTGTAATACCTGCTAAAGTGGTTTCAGACCAAATTTGAAATCTATTGGTAGTGCATAACCAGAATTAAAAAATATGACCAAAACTTTAAGTTGTTGAGTACATGTAAAAAGGAGCATATGTAAAAAGAAGCATATTGACCCAATAATGGTCACTAAGTGCTGGAAATAAATAAGACAGGAAGACAGAAACAACAAAGGGAGAGTAAAGAAGCGGGACCTACCAGTGGCGCCCTCCAAAACCACCCGACGTCTGAAGTTACCATTACAAAGTAAGACCATGTTTAGTAGTAGTACAGGGTTTTATGGCGCTCGCAACTGCGTAAAGACCATGTTTACACACACTAGAGCAATTAGCAAAAATATAGGACCAGCAAGAGGCTCTACTCTACTGTTTCCTAATGAAAGACAATGAACAAATATCTAAAACATGTGAATAATTCTTTTTGATGCCAATGACCTGAAGATCTTTAGTTCAAAACTTGAGAGAAACTGGCTGGAAGAGAACACTGCTCCTGATCAACTACAAAAAAAACTTTAAATTTAGTAAGAATTTTACGCAACTTTCAACACAATAAAGCCACATAATATGAGCGCCGATAAAAAAAAAAAGACTTCCTAGGCTTGAAAGGTCCTCCAGATACTCTGGAGAGGTCTACAGCAAAAGTTCAAAGCTATAAATAAGGACGCATCGTCAACACTCAGAGGCCAACTCTTTAATTAAAAAAAGGACACATTTAACACAGAACCGAGTGCAAAAAAACCGGAACGAGAGTCTCTGAAATATGCCAATACAGGAAAATGACAAGAGCTTTTGTTAAAGAGAGTAAAAGCATTGCACCACCAAGCTGGAATTCGCTCAGTATCAACAATGCCTGTACAGACAACCATGCCTTCAGAAACGACGAGATGCTAAAACGATGAAAATCCGGCAATCCCGCAGATTTCGGGTTTCAGCGAATTCTACTGTAGACAACAGCTGCAGTGGTTATGCGCTTTGTTACCGTACGCAGGACACCTGAGTTCGGTTCCCGAGCGAGGAAAATTTTTTAATCAGTTATTTTGATTTTTCTTCAAGGATGTTGTACCCTTCTCAGGCACGGTTTGCCAAATTTAAGTGAAATTTTATAAGTTTGAGATGGGGGCGGGGGATATCGTCAAATGTTAGATAACTTGATAAGGAGAGTAATGATGGAAGAAATATGGGCATATCAAACATGTTTAATAAATAATCCTAATAATTTTTTAAGAGTTTTGACTTAGCTGAAGGTTCCAATAACCAGGATATTGTAGTTTATCTCTACTTTTGTTCAGATGACGATGTTTCAGTCTCCAAAGAAAAAGCACAGGGTAGGTGGAAGGCCGGATGGTGAATTGTTTCATACCCCTGATAACAGAAAGTCCTAGGCTGAATTGGATATAATATAAAAAAAACTGTCTCCTGAATCTTTGTAAAAAAACTTACTGCTGAACACTGAATCTACATTCAGCATGAAGTGTGACCAAAATATATTCTTTTCCTAAGTTTTGTGCAAACATAGGTAACGTAGAAAGAGTTTATAACTGCCGCACCACTTTCATTAGCGATTGCAGCAGCAGGAAAAATGCTAACATAAAAACATAAAATTCCCCACAGATTTTAATACACCATCGAATTGCAATGACTTGTTCTCTTACTCTTACTCGTACAAAAGTTGCAGAGGAAAAAAAGGGCCTGTCCCAAATTTACCTGTCTAGAAATATTTCAGCACACGGGGGAAATAATTCAGGAAAAATAATTGGTCATTTATATCATATGTGTCACGATGCGATGGAATCAGGCCTCGTTAATTTTGGGGCATATATGGAGTTATTGGTATAATCTTAAAGCCTGTCCATTTGCCTTGCTTTTGATGGAAAAAATATCCATAATATCCATTTATTTATCTTTTGTGTAAGTCAAGATATTGGTGACGGAAGGGGATGGCGGTCACCTGGTTTCAGAGGTAGAATTTGCGAGAAAATGGCTGCGAAAGTTGCGTTCTCCTTAGCTTGAGAGTCTGTGGAAACTGAAAATTTACATGTTTTACGCTTTTAATTAACATTTTTCAGTAGAAATCCACACAGAAAAGTGTTCTTAAATGGGAATGAAAGGTGTTTAACCAAAAAAAAAATTCGATAAAAATTCCAAAACCTATGGGAAAATGTCAGTTTCTTCACTTTCATTATTTTGATGAGTTCCTGATTTCACCACGCTGCCACACATATGTCACTCTGCGATGGAACCAAGCACTTGTCAATTTTTGGTTATGGTCACACAAGAGTTATAGTGGATATAAAAAAGTTTGCTCATTTTTTCTTTTGATAAAGAAAATACTGTGTATCGTCAATGGAATTCGAGATATTTGTGATTGAAAGAGTGGGGGTTGCTTTGTATCAGATGTAAACTAAGATAAAGATACAGAAAATGGCTGCCAAAGTTTGACGACTTTCAAAGCTTGAGTATGCTTGGTAGCTGCAAATGAACATTTTCTTTGCTTTTTATTTTGATCAATGGTTTTCAGAAAAACCCAAACAGAAATTTTGTTTTTAAATAAACATAAAATGTTTAGCTTTTAAAAAAACCAGCGACTTTCTTCTGTTTCATTGTTTTGACGAGCGCCTAATTTCACCATAATAGATCACACTTATGACTACTATGTATTTATGTGTAGAGATGTGCGTGATTGAAAGAGGATGTGTACATGTGTGTGGTGAAACACCAAATCAATTTGCCAGATTCTGGACAATAAAAATTTCTCTTAGCTTACCACTTTGTGCGGACTGGCCACCCCTGTCAGCTTCATCGGAGGCTCCCTTTTCTGCCAGTGGAAGTACTGCGACTTTTACTTTCTTCACTGTCCACTGTCTCCCTGCATCAGAAGAAGCGTTGAGTATGAGAGAAATGAAATGTGTGCTCTCATTTGTTGTTCTAAAATAAATAACTAAGAAATTTTTTTAAAAATATCATTACTTTGCATGTGAGAGCATTTGTTTGAATACGATAGGTGTTTTACCATGGCACTATCGACTCAGTTTTGGTCATGTCAAAGCATTGTGGACTGACAATTACTCAAAACCGATACTGAAAGTACACCCTGTGACCCACACATGCACATGGCAATATATTATATTTACAAGTAACTGCAAATAAAAAAGACACTTTCTGAGGATTGTCAATAGCTTTTCCACAGGACAGAATGTTTTACTTTGCCCACAAAAATCTTTCTTGTGTAAAGTGTATTGTTCCACAAGGAAATCTTTTCATGATAAGAGTGATGGGAGTGAGGTGGAAGTGGGCAGTGCTGTTGAAGGCGATGCTTTTTGACTTGGACGGGGGTGTAGCTGTTGTTCGACCGACCCTCTTAACTGCGCACAAGACTAGATTTGGGAATTATTTCAAGACGTTGTAAAAGTGGACGTCTTCCCTTAAGACCAGCAGACAACTACAAATCTCCATGGACGAACTATTTGTCAATTCAGAGCGAGTAGTACGCAATAGCTGTGTTGTAGGGGGGGGGCTCCCTCCCCCACCCCTTGAAATGATGTGCGGTAACATCTAAATTAACCATTAGCGACTTTTAATATTGCAAAATCGTGTTCAGGGCCCTAAAAAGCAATACATATGTCTTTTTACTGAAACTCAGGAAGCATACAAACTAGCATCGGCGTTCTGCCGGTGTCAAATATATTCCTCCGGTAGGCAGCAAAGTGTTGCTTCTGGGTGTGGGAAGAGCGCAAACTCCCACTGCCCACCAGGTAGATTCCATTGTATTGGTTCAGGGTGCCGGTGTGCGGGTCGACGAAATTCTCCTTGTGGCTGACTGTCAGGTGTCGGAAACCCTCTTGCTCCAGGCACTCGTAGCTCTTGAAACAATAGCTGTAGATTATGGTGCCTGGAGCGACGTGCTTCTTGACAGGACTGAAGAGGGTTTCCTGGGTACGGCCTTGTACAGGAACGAAGAAGCACTCCGTCTTGCGACAAATGCCGCCGAACACCGACTGGCCGTCGACCACTCTCTCGCGATTAAACTTGTGTTTTCCCAACTTCGCTTCATCGACCTCAACACTAAAATTGGCCCCCACCAATCTACCGCACTCCATCACCGCAATAGACTTTTCAACGATGACCTCTCTGCAATAATTAGGTTTTCAGTTTTTAGTTTTAGTAGAGGTTTTACAGCGCTCGCAACTGCATAAGGCCATATGAGCGCCAAGGGGTGATGTCAACAGAGAAGTCCTTACAGGGAATCAGATTTACTCTGCTCACCTCTCTAATTCAAAAGCACAAAGTCTGCTTCGACTATCAAGGCACCCCGGAAATAGCGGGTTACAAGAGTGTGACAAACATACAAAACAAGAAGAGGAAAATGACGATAGTAAGGATTAGGAAAGAAAAAGCAGCAGTTCCCTGTTGTAGTTCAGGCACAGTTTTATGAGCATGACATTGTTAGATCAGCCCATTTACAATTCTACTGCGCACTAGAACGAGAAATGTCCCCCATTTGGGAATGGCCTGAAGACACTTCAGTCAGTGGCATCGCCCCGGGGGACAGTTCTTTGACAACACAGAGAGATACTTGCGTTACTTGCATACATACATTACTTGTGTTTCATTGTTTTCATTCATTTATTTGTTCATGCATTCAGAATGACCACTCATTTTGAAAATAATGAAAAAATTTATTGTTCAAAAAACAAAATACAAAAATATATATATATATATAAGAAATGAGATACGAAAAGTCTTATCCCCCTCTCTCTCTTTCTTACACACAAATACACACTCTCTCTCTCACACACACAGACACATATTCACAAATACATGCATGCATACTCTAGAAAAATACACCAAAAAATTGATAACAAAGGGTAACTGGTTAACAATAAAACATCAATGTAAGGCATCTCTCTCTCTCTCTCACACACACACACACAACATGTACACCCCCCCCCCCCC